GTACCATAGGTACCATAGGTACATACCATATGGTACCTATATACCATGGTACCATATGGCCATTTAGTAGGTACATATGTACTACTAGTAGTACAAAGTACATATGTACTAATTATACATATGTACTAGAAGTATATGCATATACTACCTATACTACATAGTGCATACACATGTGTACACATGTACTACTAGTACATCCACTAGTACATATGTACGTGTGTACATATGTATTATGTACTAGTACATGTACTACTAGGACATATGAACACATGTGTACTAGTAGTACATACTACATATGTACTAGTATGTACTAGTATGTACTAGTAATACATGTACTAGTAATAGTACACATGTACTAGTAGTACATACTAGTAGTTAGGGTCATGCATTATGGACCGAGGCTGATCAATTTAGGGTCTTGTAGTTTTGACTGAGGCTTAACAGTTTAGGGATTACTCAGTTAGGTTTTTTCTCCGGTCCGAAGCGTCAGTAGCCGGTAATGGACCTACTTACCTTGTCAGTAGCAGAGCTCAACTTTGTTCTATTGGTTTGGTGGGTGGCTACCAAGATGATTTCTTTATGCCCATCAAAGAACCTTGAGATGCTAATCCATGAAAAACGATAAAGGAAATGCGAAAGAACTCATATACGGAACGAGGGCAACTTGTGGAAATACATCGGTTTCTTACTTGTGCAAATGAACTATTTCTTAGCAACTTGGACAACTTATAACGATGTTTGTCCCGCATATCACTAGGAAGATCGGGATCTTTACAAAAGGCTTTATAAAGCTTTCGTCTCAATTCATATTTATCTGCGAGCAATCTATGTTTGTGATCTTGTATATTTCACTTCTTCGACCTCTTACTGATAATCCCCCTCATCGTTTTGCAAGAAGCCGCTCCACGGTGGTAAAGTCTCATCTTGTGTGGTGGCTGAAGTGACAATAGTCTCATTGGACCCTCGAATATAATTGAACATCTGGAAATGATCTTCTAGTTCTGTAGATAATTCACAAAACTCAGTTTCCATCAAGAATTAAATGGGGTTTTCCCGTATTTTGACTGGAGAATCTAGCAGAGACATTACAGTCGAGATTTTGACAAAAAAATTAAACAATCCATGCCCTGAGAGATTGCTTTGTCATGCTAGGTCACTGACATATCCAATATCTTTTTCGGGCCCCAAGAATTGATTGGATCGAAACGAATTTCCTGTCGAACCCCTTTGTGTTTGTATGAATCTCAGACTGTGTGGAATCTCCATTGCCAATCTTCCATTTTTTATTCTGAAATTAGAGGGTGCCTTTGGAAGTACTACAACTAATATTAGTACTTACTAATACTACTACTAATACAAGTAGTAGTATTAGTCCTACTAGTAGTACTACTATTAATACTACTATTGTAGTACTAGTACTGCTAGTAATAGTAACATTAGTAGTAGTATTAATATACTAGTACTACTACTAATAGTAGTAGTTATAGTACTACTAATAATAGTAGTAATAGTATTATTAATAATACTAATAGAAATAGTACTAATACCACTATTAGAACTACTATAATAGTACAACTATTACAGATAGCAGTAGTACTAATAATATTAGTAATACTAGTACTAATATTAGTTGTACTACTAATACTATTATAATAGTACCATTACTACTACTAGTAAAACTACTATTAGTATTATTAGTAATTTTACTCTGTAGTACCATTAGTACGTACTCGTAATAGTACTAATACTAGTAGTATTACTATTAGTAATAGTACTACTAATAGTAGTACTACTAATAGCAGTAATAATAGTAGTCATAATACTAATAGTAGTACTATTAATCGTAGTGCTAGTAGTAGTAGTAATACTAATAGTAGTACTACTACTAGTACTAATATTAGTAGTACTAGTAGTACTAATACTAGTCTACTAGTGCTAATAAGTACTACTATTACTACTACTAGTAGTACAAAGTACTACTACTATTAGTATTAGTAATAGTAGTATTACTACTAATACTACTATTAATAGTAGTACTACTTCTTACTATAAACTAATACTAGTAGTACTATTAGTACAAGTAGTACTACTAGTACTATTAGTAATAAAGTACTAGTAGTAGTACTAATACAAATACTACTATTAGTACTAGTACTAGTAGTAGTACTAATACTACTATTAGTACTAAAGTACTAGTAGTAGTACTAATACTAATACTACTTTTAGTACTAATACTAAGAGTAGTAGTAATATTATTACTACTATTAGTAGTAGTGCGAGTAATAGTACTACTTACTACTATAATTACTAGTAGTAGTAGTATTACTATTATTATTAATATTAGTACTTGTAGTAATAATAGCATTAGTAATCGTACTGCTAGTACTAGTAGTAGTAGTAGTTGTTATAGTATTAATAGTACTAGTTAGTTTTATTAGTAGTAGTATTAGTTAGTAGAAATACTACTAGTACTTTTAGTAATTCTACTACTAGTACTTCTGTACTACTAGTACTTATGTGGAGGATTTGTTTGGAAAATGATTTTTGAGAAGAGTGTAGGTCTTATAGTTTAACAACTTGTGACTCCTTTGATGGACATTGAAGTAGTATCACGGGAATCACAAAAGGTGGGGACATTTACCTACTAGTTTCTTTAATTTCCTATGGCATGAAGATGGCAAAACAGTGGGTTCTTCTTAATGAGATTGACATGGGATAGCTATGATGGACACTCTTTCAACTTAATGTAGACACTCCATTTTTCAATTGGCACATTTCGTGATCTTCTAGATAGTGACCTGAGAGAGCCCTTAAGACCATATTGTTTCAGTACCCATACTGTCAATTTCGTAGTCTAAAACTAATAGTAGTAATAGTAGTACTACGTACTATTACTAGTAGTACTTAGTAGTAATAGTACTACTATATTAGTATTAGTAATACTATTAATAGTACTAATAATAGTACTACTACTATTTGTAATAGTAGTACTATTATAGTTGTATAAATAATACTAATAGTAATAATAGTACTAGTACTATTAGTAGTAGTACTACTACTACTACTATTAGTAGTAGTACTATTACTAATAGTAGTACTATTATTACTAATGGTACTACTATTACTAGTACTAATATTATTACTAATAGTAGTAGTTGTATTAAAACTAATACTAATAGTACATAGTACTAGTACTACAAATAGTATTAGAACTTAGTAATAGTATAACTCATAATACTAGTACTAATAGTAATAATATTAATACTATTAGTACTACTAGTAGTAGTACTACTTAGTACCAGTACTAAGTACTACTTGACGTACTATTGCTACTAAGTACTAATAATAGTACTATTAGGTATTAGTACTACGAGTAATAGTAATATTACTAAGTATTATACTAC